TTATATTATTATCTTGGCTCTTCCTTACAGTGCTTTAATAAGGCACTGCCCAGGATATGTAACAGGAAGGAGTAGGGGGCATTAAAAAAACTATATTTTTCCCGTTACATAAACAAATGTCTTGTTTTTCAGTCTTAAATCAGAAGTTCAGAGTTTTTGCAGCACCATCTAGTGAGACTAAAGAGGTTTTACTCAACTGTTCAGCAATTCCAGCCCATTCCCTCTTTATACTTGCATTTCTTTTTAATCATGGTCTCCTTATAGTCCATTGGCTGAAAGTCTTTGGGGCCAACAAGCTGTTGAAGAAGGTGCCTTTGGTGCACACAATAGTCCTTTTTACATTCCTTTCTGAACAGCATGAAATCCCACAGCTTTGCAAACTGCCGAGCTGAAAAACTGCAGAGCTTTCATCAAGCCTTGTTATTAATGAATTGCCTCCTAGCTAGTGAGCTGTGCCTCTGATCTGTACCTTGTTTTGAAAGAATACACTCTGCGAGCAGAGAACAGATGCGTGTTTTATTGGATGTGAAGGATGTTCTCAGATGTAGGCATACCTGTCATCATTCCTACCAGGAAGCGTTACTGATGATATTTTCTATAAGACAACATCTATACACTCAGCTCTGTGCCAGACACATGCAAGAGTCTATATGCAAAATATCCTTCCTGGCCCAAAGATGTTGCTGGCAAACAAAGCTCAGCCTGATTGCAAGCCAGTTAAGATGACGCTCATCTTTTCCTAGGCTGCCCTGTCTCTTAAAAGTTTCCCTGCGCCTAATTAGGATTAAAACTGCTTTGTTTTCTTCATCTACTCATCCCTGGTTAAAAGATCCTGGAGTACCTTCACCCAACTGAGCCAATGTGCAGAATCAGAAGCATTTCAAAAAATATTTCCCATACAACTTCTTAAAATAATGTTTTTGACTAATAAGAAAATAAACCCCCCCTTCAGAACTTTTTTCTGAATTCTTCCATGTCACCAAGAGCTGTATATCACTGACACCAAAACATTTCCAAATGAAAGCAACTCGTCTGCTTCTAAGAGGACATAAGCACATACTAGTAAGTCATGTGATGGTTAGAACAGATGATCCCACTGTAGGAAGATGGAAACAAAATTACATAATTCACTATAAAAAACCTATGAAGGTATTTTTTGGGTTTATCCATATCTGCTACTAAACCAGTAGTAAAACTAAGCAGCCTTTCCTCTCTTATCTGAAGCTGAAGGAGTTTGTCCTCCGCTTACACAACGGCATCCTCTCCTCTAATAGGATTTCTTCAGTGAGCTGACAGAGGTGGGCTGTCGGCACCGTGGCTCCAGAGGTTTTTGTCTTCTGCACTCTGTGCACCTGAGTGTTTCTCCTGTTCTCATAAATGTCACTGCTGTTGCACCTTCGTTGCTGAACTGCTGCAAGCTGGAGGACAAAGCACCACTGGTTTATCTTTAAGTCACTTCTAATTATCCTTTCTTTTCCTTGATAACTTATTTTATAGAACTTCTTTTGGAGAACTGCTTGCATAATGATAATTAACTTCATGAATCATGGAATCATTTAGGTTGGAAAAGACATTTAAGAACATCAAGTCCAACTGTTAACCTCGCACTGCCAAGTCCACCCCTAAACCATGTCCTTCAGCCCCCTCAGCCCCACAACTACACCTCTTTTAAATATCTCCAGGCGTGCTGATCCCACCGCTTCCCTGGGCAGCCTGTTCCAATGCTTGACAACCCTTTCAGTGAAGAAATGTTTCCTAATACCCAATCTAAACCTTTCCTAGTGCAACTTGAGTCTCTTTCCTCTTGTCCTATCACTTGTTACTTGGGAGAAGAAACCGACCCCCACCTCTCTACACCCTCCTTTCAGGTAGTTGTAGAAAGTAGTAAGGTCTACTCTCAGACCCTTTTTCTCCAGGCTAAACAACCCCAGTTCCCTCAGCTGCTCCTTATAAGACTTGTGCTCCAAAACCCTTACCAGCTTCGTGCAAAGGGAGGAGAAGATTCAAAGAGACTGCTCAAAGGAGACAGTTTGTATTGTCATTCAGATAACCTCTTAGCTAACGGCATGGTTAGACCCAGAGTCTTGTCTCTCGTCTCCCAAGAGATGGATCCAAAAGAGATTCGCTACAACTCTGAAAAAGACCTGCCAGAAATACCTGTTATAAAGATTGTAAGTTTACTCTCAAAACTGAAATTCAACTACAAAATATTCTCAGAGTAACTTATGACATGGCCTGACATCATCTCTGGGAAAATCATCTAGCAATATGCAGAAATTATTATTTTTATTCTAGAACATAAATTCCTACTTTCTTATGATATTGCTTTCTTGCCTAGAAGCATCTTATTTTTATGATTTTTATTACACCATATTTTCCAAAACCATGAATTTTTGGAAGTGGTTCTACAGGACCTAGAATATGTTGATAAATATCAGTTAAAAGGCCTTCATGATTTTCTATGTAATCAGTGAATATATTAATTGCTGCCACCCAGTGGGCTCATTTGTAGGCTTTGGCTCACCATAATATAATTTAATACATCATTGTTTGGTTAAATGACTTCAGCCTCTTCATCTGAAGTAGTGTGATTTATTTTCCTCTATCAGCAACCCCTAAAAATGAATGTTTCAAGTTACGAGCTGTGGTTGACTTAAAACATATCATCCTACAAAAATACTTTCCTTCATATTTGTAGTGTGGGAACAGCCCATGGAAGGCAACATACACTTGAGCTTCAAGCTAAACTGTACATGAGATTACCTGCTTTGCCTTCTGGACCTGCCTTCGAAGTTCAAGGCAAATACTTTGCACTATTTAAATGATAAATATTCCATCAGAACTAAGTTGTTAAAGGTGTTACACAGGGGGAAGTCTTTCCTGAAAAGTGCTGATATTTCTGACCCTCCCGTAACTTGCACTGGGGTACTCGCGCACTTGAAGTTACGCACTTGACAGAAGATAAGCCGTGCAAACAGTTTGCAGTTTGTTGTCCTTACCTGCTTTGTTGTTTGTTTGTTGTCCTTACCTTACCACTGGTGCCAGCAGAAGTCACAGGCTCTCAGGCCAGCTCCTGTATTACTCTGAAGGGAATAAATTGGCTCTTAAAAATGGGCTGCTGTGTTAACAGCTTCTACAATCTGTATAGGTGTTATGAATAATGAAATAAGACACCGGCAATGACAACACATTGTTGAAGAGCTGTTAAGTGCTGCATTATGATTTCATTTTAATGCTGCTCCTGGATGAGAGAGCTTGCATGCCTGTGCCTGAGGAGGAGGAGGCAGAGAAGGGAAGCTACTTAATAGTCTTCTTGTTGACCTATATTTTGAATTTAGCTACCTGTTTAATTTAAAGCATGTTATTTCCAGGAGGACTGGCCATTTGAGGGAGTATTATGCTGCCCTTAATTTTTGTGCACTCAGAGGACCTGTCGGTCTAGACAGTGGTACAATTAAATGCCAACAGTGAAGAAAAAGAAAATAATCTTCTTACACATTCTTGGGTTACACAGACCTAGTCTGTAGTCCTGCAAACCAAGGCTGTCCACCAATTGACACAGATGAGGTGCTAAGGCACAGGAGAGGGCAGGGATAAGAACAGGCAGTCTTGGCTCAAACCCAGATGAGACTATAGCTGGACATAAATTATCTTCTGACCCTCCCCTAAGATAAGAAGAAAGCTGGGAAAGAAATGCCCTCCAATTCCAGCACCTGTGGAGGTGCCGGTTATGTATCAACCCTCCAATCAGGGCATCTGTGCCAAAAGACCACTGTCCTTTTTACTGACCTCAGTGGGAGTACTGCAAAATAAGGTAACACTCTGTAGGAATAATGGTGAAAGAATTTGGCCTCAGTGCTTTATAGAAGCTAAATAAATCTACTGCAAGAAACCCAAAGTATCTAGAGGTTGAAATGGAGGAAGATATTACATCCTTATATGATATTGTTCATGCTCAAGCACAGCATGGGCACAGATTCAGGGAAAAAGATTTATTCCAGCAATGACAGTGGAACCACTTCTGTAACCAAAGACAGTGGGGAATGAAATCACCTTTATTGCTCATCAATGGCAAAAAAAACCCACCCTTTTGTTTCCTGCCTATAAAGCTGTTCACCTTTGATGCTCCAACAAATGACCAATAAATCACATGGTAAATGCAATTTCCTTCTACATTTTTAGTATTTCTTCCTTCCCTGCATGAACCTCAGCTGGAGGAAAAAACAAAAACTCTCAAGAGCTTACCAGTTGGAGGTGTTACAAAATTGATTTTACAGAAGGTCACAGATCCAGTTTGTGTTTTTTTCATCTATTCCCCAAACAAGACATAGGACCAAAGCAGCACATGCTGGGAACCTCAGACCAGATAAGAAATATCAGAAATGGGTAAAATTGAAGCAGAATAGATGGGATTCAAAATTTCCTTCAACACATGGAAAAGTGAAAAAGACATTAAGAAATTGTTGAGGACTTTATAGCTACTTCTCCATCATCCTCAAAATGAATCCCCTATTCAACTGGGTTCCAGACTCTTGGCCTCAAAACTGGTGTTTATTGATCTGACCATTTAAATTTCCTTATATCATGACAACCAAATTTCACCAAATAATGCTGAGTCTCAGTTAGAAGCAGACCTCTTTCTTTCAAGAGAAAATGTGAAAGGCAGCAGTTGTGCATACTGGGGAAAATAACTGGAGAATCCATTTTTATCTGGGGCAAAAAAAGTAAGGACATTGCTAATCTAACATATCTTTCCACATTCACAAATATTTCTCATACTGTAAAGTGAAATAGAGTTCTACTATCTGAGTTCTTTTCTTCTTCCAAGTTCAAACAAGGCATAAACATTTCAAAAGTGGGACAGATACAGACCTCTCAACTTACTTGTTGACACTTGAATAGGTTTCTATAAGCTGCCAGGTGTCTGTGCTTGCCAAAACGATGAAAAACGTCATCTACTGTTTCAATAATAACATTCTCTGTTTCTCTTTTTTTCACAGCTCCATTCAACCCTCCCAATGCCGCCGACAGTATGGTCAAATTTGATGCCTATGGAGATGGGATAGGACGATACAATGTGTTCAATTTCCAGTACACTGGAGACAGATACTCCTACGTGAAGGTTGGTCACTGGGCAGAAACCTTGTCACTTGAGGTAGACTCTATCCACTGGTCCAGGAGCTCTGTCCCTGTCTCCCAGTGCAGTGACCCCTGTGCTCCTAACGAGATGAAGAATATGCAACCAGGAGATGTCTGCTGTTGGATTTGTATTCCCTGTGAAACCTATGAGTACCTGGCTGATGAATTTACCTGTGTGGACTGTGGGCCTGGAAAATGGCCCACGGCTGACCTGACTGGCTGTTACGACCTACCAGAAGACTACATCAAGTGGGAAGATGCTTGGGCAATAGGTCCTGTTACCATTGCATGCCTGGGCTTTATTTGTACTTTTATGGTCATTGCAGTGTTCATCAAGCACAACAATACCCCCCTGGTCAAAGCCTCTGGCCGTGAACTGTGCTACATATTGCTCTTTGGGGTCTTCCTGTCTTACAGCATGACTTTCTTCTTCATAGCCAAGCCTTCTCCAGCTATCTGCACCCTGCGTCGTTTGGGGCTAGGAAGTTCCTTTGCTGTCTGCTACTCTGCCCTTCTGACAAAAACAAACTGCATAGCCAGAATATTTGATGGTGTAAAGAACGGTGCTCAAAGACCGAAGTTCATCAGCCCCAGCTCTCAGGTCTTCATCTGCCTGAGTCTCATTTTGGTACAGATTGTGGTGGTGTCCGTGTGGCTTATCTTGGAGGCCCCTGGCACCAGGCGGTACACTCTTCCAGAGAAGAGAGAGACTGTCATATTGAAATGCAATGTCAAAGATTCCAGTATGTTAATCTCCTTAACATATGATGTAATCCTCGTAGTCTTATGCACTGTATATGCCTTCAAAACAAGGAAATGTCCAGAGAACTTCAACGAAGCCAAGTTTATCGGTTTCACAATGTACACAACGTGCATCATTTGGCTGGCCTTTCTCCCCATATTTTATGTGACATCCAGTGACTACAGAGTAAGTCTTTGGATATCTGTTTCCATAAATCATGTGCATCACTTTAAAGGACCGTGTCGTCATTCACTAAAAGCTTCTTTCACTTCTTTTGTCCCCTGGATCCCTTGCAAACAAGCTCTGTTTCAATGTTAATGTCCACGTAAGCATAATACCAAATTTTAGCATATTTCTAAGAAAGATGGTCCTATTTCAAACTGAACATGTACAGTTAGAGGTGGAAGGAATTAGTACTGTCAGTCTGATTGTGATAGAGGCATACAATATGGATTAAGTGTTCTTACTGGTACATCAGTATACGAACAGAAAAATCCAGTAGATCATGAGTTAGAATGAGTCATAATGAGTTATTTGGTGGAGGTGGGCCTTAAATTAAAAACTGAACTAGCTAGTCTCCTTCTGCAAAAGGATCTGCCATTCAAATACAGTCTTTTCTTCCAAAGAAAAAGGATAAGGAAAGAAATGCAAAATTTCCTATGAAACAGGATTGCTTTAAAAAAAAATCTGACAAAGGTTACACTTGAATGTAGAACTTCTTAAACATTAAATTGTTTAAATTGTCACATAGTGTTGCAAAGCTTCATGTTCAATAAAATCGTATTTTTGGACAGAAGGAAATTGTCTCAGAAGAAGATTCAGATCTGCTCCACTGGAAATCTCACAGTTATTATGATGTGAGAAGTGTCTGCTGGAGCTGGCCTTTACAGTAGTTTGCACCGAATTAATTCAACTTTCTGCCCAGAAGAAAGGTAGATTAGCTTAGGGTACTATTATTACCAGTAGTATGTACATGAAATAGCATATAAACCTGTGGAGCTAATAATGTCATTTAACATACTTTTGGTGCGACCAGTATATTTAGTACTATTTTTCTCAGCTTAGGAAAGGTACTGAAAACCTCAAGAAAACAAGGTTTGATAACAAACGACGCAGTGAGGCACACAGAGTGACAGTAAAAGAGCTAAATATATTTGGTCTAGACAAGAGTAAACCCAGGGAGACGTGATCACAGACTATAAATAATTTCAAGGCAACAAAAAGAGAGAAAGGGATTATTCAGTCTCAGGAGGAGTTACAATGGCAAGTAATGGATTGAAGCTAATGAAGGAAAAGTTTAAGGAAGGCACTGGGGAACAGCTCCGGACACCCAAAGTAATCAGGAACATAGACATGGAAGGAGGGTAATATCAGAGCAGACAGTCATGTGAGTGGGCAGCACAGACACTAATGGTCAAGAGGAGCATGACTTGATTGCTCAAGCAGCGTTTTTCAGCCTTATAGCCTGAGTGGGATTTTCAGAAGTACTTGTAGGCATTTAATTTAAATACAAGGTTCCGAATAAGCCATCTCGAGTCCTACCAAATTGACAGAAAATGCTTTTGACACCTTTTTGGATGCTTTCATGACATGTCAGGAGCTTTTTGAAAATCCCATCCTAGATGTCTAAACTTCTGGGGTTCCTTTAAAAAGCCAATATTTAATTCCCATGCAGTGTTACATATTGACTCTGAATGAACTTGTGCCATTCTAATGTAGACAAATACCGGTGGTGTCACCAATAAACAAGCTTAGAAACATAATAGTAAGAATGAAAAAAAAAAATGTTGACTGGCTTGAGATTTTATTATTAGGCACAAACGTTGCTTAGGACTCAAGCTTCTGAAAAAAGAAAAAGGGTGAGCTCCTGGAAATGTATCCAGAGATTTTAACTACTACCTCACTCTAGTAGGTAAAAGACAAAAAAAAAAAAAAAAAAAAAAGTAGTTGGACATAATATTCATCCCTGCCAATATTGAAGCAGAAATGTCCCTGTATGACAGGTGCCAGACAGCGTGTTAGATATGCTGGGACGGTGTATTACTGTATGTCCTACAGATTCACCCACCAAATAACCCTGCTGTTTGGTTAAGGCCTTCCCTGCTCTGAGAAGTGTTTATGGTACAGTTATGCCTCCTGTACATACATGTTGGTTTTTTCTGCTAGACTAAGCTTGCTTTTATTGGCACGACCACTCTCGTCTCCCTGAATTGAATAAATTTTACCAGCAAAAGGACTTCTGGGCAAAGGGTTTACAGTGGAACTCTTGGTGATTCAATCATGAGGTCAGCTGTAGGGTTTTTCCATGCACAACATGTCTTCACATAATCACCACAGTTGGAATGAACCTCTTGGGATTGTCTTGTTCAATCTCCCCTGCTCAAAGCAGGGTCACCTACAGCAGGTCCCTCAGGGCTGTGTTCAGTCAGGTTTTGAATATCTCCAAGGATGGACACTCCACAACCTCTTTGAGCAACCTGTACCAGTGTTTGACCATCCTCATAGTTTTCTTATGTTTAAACAAAATGTCCTGTATTTTGGTTGGTTCCCATGGCCTCTCGCCCTGTCACTGGGCACCTCTAGGAAGAGTCTGGCTCTTTTTTTCTTTTCTCCCCTCATGAGGTACTTATATGCACTGATAAGATCCTCCTGAGACTTCTCTTCTCTAAGCTGAACAGTCCCAGCTCTCTCAGCCTTTCCTTATCTGACAGTTGTTCCAATCCCTTAGTCATCTCCATGGCCTTTTGATGCACTTCCTCCAGTATGTTCATGTTTCTCTTGTACTGGTGAGCCCAGAGCTGGGCATAGCAGCCCACATGTGTCTCACCAGTGCTGAGTAGAAGGGAAGGATCACTGTCCTTGACCTGCTGGCAACACTCTGTAATGCAGCCCAGGGGGACATTGACCTTTTTTGCTGCAAGGGCAAATTGCTGGCTCATGATCTGTTTGTTCCCACCAGGACCTTCAGGATCTTCTCTGTAGAGCTGCTTTCCAGCTGGGTGGCCCCCAGCATGTACTGGTGCCTGGGGTTGTTTCCCCCAAAGTGGAGGACTCTGCTTTTCCCTGAGATTCCTGTTATCCCATTTCTCCAGCTTGTTGATGTACCTCTGGATGACAGCACAACTATGTAGTGTATCAACAACTCCTCCCAGTTCTGTACTATCTTCAAACTTATCAAGGGTTCACTCTGTTCCAGCATCCAGGTTCTTAATGAAGGTGTTAAGCTGCATTGGTACTAATATCAGCCCCTGGAACAACTAGTGACCGGCCTCTGACTGGAATTTGTGCCACTGATCCCAACCCTTTGAGAGCAGCAGTTCAGCCAGTTTTTGGTCCACCTCACTGTCCGCTTATTTAGCCTGTACTTGTCAATGAGGATGTTATAGGAGGCAGTGTTAAAAGCCTTACTAAAGCCAAAATAAGTAATAACAACTGCTCTCTCATCATCCATAAAGCGAGCCATTTCACTGTAGAGGTCTATCAGGTTGGTTAAGCATAATTTCCCCTATGTAAATCCATACTGACTACTGCCAGTCATTGTTCATCCATGTAGGCCTCCTGCCACATCTGCTTGATTTTCTGCCCATTGGGAGGGGCCATTCTTAAGCTTGGATGAGGAAATTCTTGGAAAACAGCCAGCCCTCCTGGACCCCTCTTCTCTCCAGCACCATATTCCGTGATATTCTTTCAAGAAGATGCCTGAACAGGTCAACCTGCTTTGCAGGGTGGTGATCCTACTTTTTGTCTTGCTTCTTCCTCTCAGGATCCTGAAATCCACCATTTGCTGGTTGTGGCAGCCAAAGCTTTCCCTTCCTGTCACACTCCTGACAAGTTATTTCTTGATTGTAAGTACAAGATCATGTGGAGCGTCTTCCTTCATCAGTTTCTCAATCACCTGTTTTAGGAAGTTGACCTCAGTGCGCTCCAAAAACCTCCTGAATTGCTTCTGCCCTGCTGCATTCTACCTCCAGCAGGTATCCGGGTGGTTGAACTGCCTCAAGAAGACCAGAGCCTGCAAACATAAGATTTCTGCCAGTTGTCTGAAAAAGACCTCATCTACTTCTTCCTGATTATGTGGTCTATAGCAGACACCCATCACAATGTTGTCCACTTTGGTCTGCTTGCTAATCCTGACCCATAATCTATCAGCTGGCCCAAGACTCATTGCCGGGCAGAGCTCCATTCGCTCCCGCTGCTCTCACAGAGTCCAGCTCCCTCTCCTCACCCTGCTACCAGGGCACTGACCTATGCTGTAATTGCACATCAGTAAGTAGAGCAAGAGACATCTGTCTGCTGCCACAAGTCACAGACTTCCAGCCTTCATCATCATCACGGCAGTCTCCATTTCCCAACTCAACAAACATAGGCTGCATAGTTCTTCTTCAGTACAGACCAGGCTTTTGTACCTGTAGAGTGTCAGATAAGATCCAGTCCACCTTTTTCTCACCTTGTCTGATGCTGCAGAGTCTGCCGACCTCCTCCTGTAGCTCCTTAACTTGACAACAAAAATCCTCCACATCTTCTGCAGAAAAGGAGAACAAATCCCCCAGCCCCCATGAGAGGTCTCGGGCATCCCTGCAGCCCCAAAGCTGCAGAGCTGTATCCTCCCTCAGAAGATCAGTCTGGGTCAGTCCTGAAATGCCAGGGAGAATTGCCCCGTGGCCACTAAGGATGATGCTCTGTGGCACCCCCATTGCTCTGCACACACACAAAGCCTTCAGCAAAGATTCCAGCCCTCCTCTGTGCTCATTTCTGCATGCAGCTGAACATCTTAGCTGTCCAGCACTTAAGAGAGGGTTCTTCCCAGCACCTGCAACAAGAGTGCCCAACCTTGCCTAACCAAGAGTCAGCTCAGACAAAAGCTCCAAGCTGGCCAAGACAGCCGACAGAGCTCCTTAGAAGCTGCTGGAGGTTGCTAGAAGTCACAGCCTCCTGCAGCAATCCTCTCCCAGCAGCAGCAAGGCACCCTGACATTCTTTGAAGTATTCCCAAGAGTTCTCCAATGATCCCAGAAATTTTTCCCAGAAGGTCTAGAAGATCCCAAAGCAGAGGCCGGAAACTGCTGTGCAAACTGTTGTATTTGGGGGCTGACTCTCAGATGCACTGTCAAAAAGCTGCTGGAAAAGATAGATTTCTCTGACGCCATCGATTTTCATGCAGAAATCCACATTGATTTCAGAATCAAAGATACAATGAAATCTGATATGATTAAATAAGCATACACAACATAAATTCATAGTGGCCCTGTTATCTAGAACTTTTAAGGGAATTTTCAACCTGATCACCTTAGAGGAAGGCTTAAGAAATGCAGCAATAACACAGGAAGGAAAAGTCTGGGTGATAAACTGGTTATAACGAAATCAGGTGTCCAAAGTTCCTACTGTTTAGACATTTTGTCCCTGCATTTTCTTTGGGGGTAATTCTGGCTCAAGGAGCTTGCCTCCCTGCCAGTCATTCCTGCCTGGTCTGGCAGGACTGCCTCCATTCTGCCAGCACATCGCTGCCCGTGAGGCCAGGTTACACATCGAACCGCTGAAGTGACCTGGATTAAAAGAAACCCTGTGGGATGGGGCTATTTTTAACCCAAATCATTTCATTGATTGAGTGTATAATTATGTCAGCACAGCTGAGCTGCTCCTGGAGGCACAAACGCTAGCAGAGCAGGCTGGAGGGGAGGGCACTGCTACCGAAGGGGACTTACCTTGAAGTAAGTCCTACCTTCATTTATTCTTGTTTTATAAGAAAACTCCCAGTCCTGTGTTACTGGTTCAAGACCCACCCAGAACCCTCTGCGGAGCCCTGTGGATAAAATGCAGAGAAATGAAGGGGAAAGTGCATCTGGAAACACTAAGGTGTCCCTCTCCCATGCTGTCCCTCTAGGGTCTTCCATGTTCCCTCACCTGTGAAAGCTGAGCACCTTTTCATGGTGCTTGCCACATCTACTTTGGGTAAATTGTGATTATTACATGATCACATTAATTATACTTAGTGCTGACAAAGCACTTCGTCCTCTATGTATATGTATAAAGCAACAAAGTCCATTCCCTACTCTATTTTTCATTTTGCACCAATTATTTCTGACAAGGAGATATGAGAAGCATTCCCATGGAAGAAGGCTAATCTCCAAGGACTGCAGGAGTGTAACTAAGGAAAAACGAGCCTTGGATGTATAATCATTCAAATTAAGCAGTAGAATTTAAAGCAGTTTAATTCAACATCTTAATTAAGGAATCTGCTTGGAAGAAAAGAATATAAACTGAAAATGAGGCAGTAAACTGGCACCTAGTTATACCACTGAATGAAAAGGAAGGAAGATAGTGCCAGCAAAGTTGCACTAACAAATGCCCCGAGGCAACTACTCTAAAATCCTGCAGTCTTACAAACAGTTCGTTTCTCAGCCCAAAAATTTCTGTCACAAAGTCAGGGCACCTTTCAGACCCAGTCTGACAAGTGTCACCTGCTCTTACGTTTACTCCAAATCACACCTATGTTCCTGCAAGGGATTTTTCAGGTTCTCTGATTAAGATTGAAGCTGGAGGCTAAACTGTTTTTTAAAAGGGATGGTCTACATGAGGCATCTAACGTTAACCCAAATAAAGCACGGTATGTGCAAGCTGGTTTCCACTGTAGCCGGCTTTGCCCAGTTGTTGCGTGACAGCCATTCCAGAGGCTTTCCTGATAAATTTAGAAAATCAGGGACAGGAGAGATGAGAGAAAGAGAGCAGGACTATCTTTTCTGTGCCAAACTGAGGGAGAACACATTCAGCCAAGCTCCTTCTGATATGCAGACACACAGAACGCCGTCAGCACTATGCACCTCACTCACATGATCCTAGGGTTGTGGAAGACAAGGATGCTACAGATGTTCAAGCCAGTCTGTACCAGTGCAGACCCCCAGGACCGTGGTTCCTGTTGTTGTATGATAATGTTTCTAATATCCTGCATTTCAGACCTTTCCATACTGAAACACAGCGCTTTGCACCCACTCTCTCCTAGGTGCAAACCACCACCATGTGCATCTCTGTGAGTCTGAGCGGCTTTGTTGTGCTGGGCTGCTTGTTCGCACCCAAGGTGCACATCATCCTCTTCCAGCCCCAGAAGAACGTGGTCACTCACAGACTCCATCTCAACAGGTTCAGTGTCAGTGGGACCGGGACCACTTATTCCCAGTGTAAGTAACAAAACTGTCACCTCTCTATGAGGATGTGGGGTTGTGGTGAGTTTGGGTAAAGACAAGATGGGTTTTTTACCAGCAACCAAAAGACCTTTATAGGCTGGGCTGTGTACTCCATGGAAGCATCACTTCATTTGCATCTGGAGAGAAAAAATCATCCCCCTCCCATGGGAATCAGCTCAGAGCCCGCTCTGAAGCTCACTGAAGTCAGCAGAAAGCTTTCGGCAGGCTCTGACTCCAGCCCGCTGCACAAAGCAAGTAGAGCCCTCCGCTTGCTGTCACTCTCGCAGCAACGACGGGAACAGATTGCCCTGGAGTATTCCTGTCAAAATGACATGCCGACAGGACCTGGGCCACAATGCAGCTTGCTCTCAGTGGCTCGTATCACCTGCATGATAAGGAAAGGCTCCAAGTCTGCAGCAAATGCCATACACTGTATCTGTATGCAGAGTGTGAGCAACACCCTTCATAAGTGCCACAGCCAGGAGAAGCAATCAGTGCTCTGCCGCAAGGACGGCTGATCTGCTCTGCCTCCCTCCTTTCCTTTGTCTTCAGTCCCTTCATCCCAAGCAGATTCACATCTGTGATTTTGATTTGAGGCTGTCACTACTCTTCTGGCTGAGCTTCTTAGGGATTTTTTTTTGATTGAAAAAAAAAAAAAAACCAAAACCACCTGTATGGTTTGGGTTTTCTTTCCCTGTCAAGCTTAACTAGTCAAGGATGGGAGAAAACAGCACCTTGTTCATGGAGCTCTGCAGACAGCATACCTAACCTGGAAAGCTAATTGAAAAAGCACACTACAACCAGAAAAAGTCAAGGAATAGGAAACAGAGGAAAGGGCGGACACAGAGCAAGGCTTGTCAGCAACTTCACAATAACGTAGCCTCAGGTTTTTGAATATGACCTAAATTTCAAAATTGGCTAGAGGCCTTTGGCACTTCAGATTTCAGACAGAACACAGAAGGAACTTGGGACCCCTCTGTGTATCACATTGGCAGGGATTAGGAGGTAAAGGGGTCCCAGCCATCTCTGGCTCTCCCAGCCCACTCCCAAATCATACTGCATCATGAATGCCCAGCGTCCCTTAACAAGAGAGCAGCCATGTGGCACTACACGTCCCCCATTTCATCAAAGTCGGGACTGCATCCAACCCTGACACCAGAAACCCAAATCTCCTTGCTGTTTTGGAAAACTTAAACCAAAAGAGATAGATGGTCCTAAGTGCCCAAAGTGCTAAGCACTACCAAAAGGCCTGGATACGCGAGACCGAGGGATTCCCAACAACCTTTAGAAGTTTGGTTTCTTGATGAAATGGTAAGTCCTATGAGATTATTTTCATCCCTGATGAATTTTGTACCAGTCATCTTCGCAAGTTTTTTAATTCTCTCATACTATGGAATAAGCTTAGACAGAAATCATTTTGATTGATGGATACTTTTGTACGGGACTGCATTTTGGAATTTTATATTTTTATTATGACAACTGGATAATACATGTGTGTGTGCAAGCATGTGCACAACTGAAAGATGTCTTCAGTGCACATCTTTACATTAAAAGCCTACTTTTTCAGGTTTATGAATAGCTTTAAAACATTCAGGAAAGCATAAATATCCAGACTTACAATCTCTTGCTACTTCATTGTTTAGAAAGGTGGCCCTAGTCATTTACTTTTCCTGCTTACACCTAGCTGAATAAGGGCTGCTTGTCTTTGCTGGTCTTTTCAGACCATGGCAAGACATGGACCTGGAAGCAGGACTAAAAGGTCCACGACATACAATGGAAAAAGCCCTAGTTTCCATCTAGGACAATTATTTGGGAAAATAACACCAAGAATTCATTGTCTGTCACAGTGCCAATATTTTTAAGAAGGAAAATTTTCCTTTACTCCCATTTCTTTGTAAATTATTTTAAATAAATTTGCATTTAAGTTTTTAACTGCTTAGTCATTTATAAACCACCAAAAGCTTGTCATCCAGACTGATTCTAATCCATGTCTAAAATATTCCTCTCATCAGTCCCGGGGCTGTCAGCTTGTTTTTATTTTGGTCTTGATGGTGTTTTCATCAGTCAGCAGTGGCTTAATATGAGACTGATCAAAATAAGCTACAGGGCAACATCCAAAAAGCCAGTTCTTGTTCATTATCAGAGCTTTAGAGGACAGGAGTACACATGTTGCTCGAATGGGCAGCGTTTCCTGTCTCCAGGGATTCCCACTTCCACTGCATCTCAGGGCTGCCACCACCTCTTTACTCCATCAGTCCTTAATGCCATAAGTGTAGTGGGTCATGAACAGCAAGTGACTCACGGACAGTTTTTAACACAGCTTTTTGAACCGTGAAAACTGGTCTAACACTATGAGAAAAGGTAAGTGACACTCGTGATGCTCTTGGGTAGCGTTTAGTGTTAGCCCATGTGTATCGCAACTACATCCCTAAACTGAGCAGTGGAGGGAGGGCCTGAGTCAATGGTCAACCACATAAGCTGCAGTGTGGTCATGAAAGCTAAACTAAGCCCCTCATGTAGCCATGTGAATACAGCTCCTCGTCTTTGCTACACACTGTGCAGAAAGCAAGTAGAGGTGAATACTTGGCTGCTAAGCGAGGAAACTTGTCTTAGAGGCACCAAGCTTTGATCATTTTGACAGCTGAAGCCTGGACTACAGAAGAATATAGATTTAAGCTGAAAAGAGGCAGGATATATGTGTATCTAGGTATATGACATGTTTTGAAACATATATATCCATACACATTTATTTGAATCTAAAAATTCACATTTGGCAGAGTACTGTGGAAGTTCTGCTTCCCCTGCAGTGTTTCCCCCATCAGGATATTCCCCAGTTTTCCTGTGACCTGTTTTATGGGCTTAGCAGAGATATTCCCATAAGGTAGGAGGTCTGCACTCATAAGACTTTCCAGGGAGCTCAGGACTGATTTAACCACCTATGTGATTTAGATTGAGCTTTTACACCCAGAACGTGCTGTTCATCCAGGTTATATCCACATGGAGAGCTACACATGGACTTGAGCTCCTCCAGGTGTCTTCCAAAGGGATCAGAAAAAAAAAAAAAAAATTGAAGCTACTGTTTATAGCCAAGCTGGTAAATTTTATCTCTCAGTATTTATTTTGCTAGGCTTTGCTCCAAACTAGCCTTGATATATGGCTTTTATACATGATTAACTCACAGTTGTCCAGCTGTGAGCAAGAGTAGAGGAAGTGGCTCACAGAGAGCAAGCTTGAATCTGCCTGTTCCTGACTATGTAGACATGTGCGAGGTGCCCACAACAGTGCTGGGCTCTTGCATCTTACCTCTGGTTCTTTATCTAAGCAAAATGAGGGACAGCTGGGAAATAGGAGATCAAAAGCATGAATTGCTGCCAAATCAAGACTTCATGTCACACATTTTTTCTTGGCCTCCATGCAGGGCAGAATGGAGGTGAAGCAATATTTCGTGAAACCCCTTGGCTGCTGCTGTAAGACACAACGTGAAACTCGGAACCCTGCAGGGCCAGCAATTAACATTGCTAAAGTCTGCAAGGAAAAGTAAAATCTTTTGTTCAGTCTCAGAGAGAGCTGGGTAGTCAGTGTGAATACTTTACTCCACCGAGCAGAGCTAATAACTGCCTCCCAGCACTACGAGAGAGGTACGTGTTGTGGAGGAAGCCTGGGAACTGAAAACACAAGGCCACTTGTTTCTCGCCTACCACCATATTTCTCTGTCCAACACTGACATCCTCCTGACCCACTTACGTTAGTATTTGAGCTATTCATGCTCTTCAATGTGTTGGACTTCAAAAACACCCTGAAGTTAAAAATGTCTCGGATGGGTGACTGATGTTCACAGAAATGAAATGCTTTTGCCTATAGTCATACTGCAGCAGAACAGGGATTTGAATCAGGCCTCCTCAGCAGTAGTGATTTTTCTATTTGCCAACAATAAGTAGAAATAAAACCAACAACAATAATAAAAATTTCAGGTCAATGTGCTACCATATTATACCCAGTTAAAAACTGAATACAAAACCTGATGGTTAATTTTCAGAAAATCATAGACATGATGCCCTGTGCCCTTTTACCTACAAGTGATTGCTCTCATATGTCACTCACAACGCATATCCAGAGAGATATGAGATATGAGAGATATGAGACATCAAAGTCCATCCTCCTAATTCAGAGAAGGGGCTCATTCTTGGCTCTCCTGTTTATCAAGAATATGTCCTGCCCTCTGAGTAGTAGGTTAGTCCAATAGCTGCCTTTAAATCTCTCTTGTTGAAGCAGTTCTGATTTCCATGAAATATTTATTGTCATTGAAAGAATCAGAAATAGTAGCTGATTTGAAGAAATAGTGATCTGTTCTGAAAATGATGCTGAGCGTCTTTGGAGAACCAGTCTGTAACTGAAAGTGTAGCCAGCACCAGTTTTGGAAGACTGAGCGTGCCCTTGTCAGCTGCATAAATTGCTTTTTACACTGGATGATTGAGTTTACTAAGTCACTGCTTGCCATGTGTTTTGTTTGATGAAGGCATCACATTTCTCTGGGTCACTGCTATCATTAACCTAATGTATCTTTCAAAAAACGGCTTTGTGGTGCCATAAGCAGAGATGTCACAGAGTATCTGAGAACACATTCCTGATGCCCAATGGATAATTTTAACAAAGATGGACAAACCAGCTTGCTTTTAAATTAAAATCCAGAAGGCTTTAGCAGAATGATAATATATCCTGCAGTCAAAATACAAATACATTCAGAAACAGATTCTGATACTCAGATGTAATTGTCGTTTTATATCACTGAAACAATGAAAACATGCTGTATAAAATATTAGGCAATGTAGACAGCGGTATCAGAATCTTGCCCTCACCTCAGGATGCATATTGAATACTGATCCATTGTTCCTAGAAATGAAGGGTATTGCACCAGAAAATATTCTGGGGTTAGGTTAGAAATAATTTTTCTTTCAAATTCAGTTATTAAAAAATTTCTTTACTCCATCCAACATGTACTTAGAATTCTTATTTTTTTTTTAAATAAAAAGTAGATGAACACACAGTCCTGATATGCAGAGATGGATTCTCTCCTGGATTTAAAAATGTATATATTTTATTTCAGGAATGTCCATTCCAATTATGTGAAAGCTCAAAGGATCAGACCTTAGCATTTCTTGCCAATAAAACACGAAAAATCCAAAGGTTCACTTTTTATTCTACAGAGATATCTTAGCACCACTCTAGCTATATTAATTCACACTACCATGCGAAGTGCTATGAAGTGAGACCCAGTGGCCCAGAATCAGCCAAAATTATTTCATGCGTTTTATTCAGATGCTTCATGGAGAAGCTTAGTCAGCCTAAGTGCTCTCAATGGTAAGAAAAAGAAATCAGGTTCCTGCAGAGGATGCTTCGGCCTCAGATCTGAATTGCCTTGTAGAGGTGCAAGCAGTATCACCATCAGCTCCACTGCTGACACAGTCACATACAGTGACTTTTCAGTCAGCATGTTGGTTAGATCAGGTGAGATGGTCCAGACCAACATAAATTCTAATCCTACACGTTGTTGTAGCTTTTTTGCCACCCTGAAGTTGGTTGATTTTCCCTTCTCTTTCTCTTTCAGCATCTGCCAGTATGTACGTACCGACCGTCTGCAACGGAAGGGAAGTTCTGGACTCCACCACTTCATCTCTGTGATTGTGACTTGCAGTTCAGTTCTTGAGTTTTTAGACTGTTAGGCAAAATTTTGCACATGTTGTGCACTCCGGAAAACACCAGAAAAACAAAAGAAATCAAAACAAAACTAGTACCTTTTTTTAGAAACAGTGTAATAAATTATTTTTGAGGATTGTACAGTATATAGTGATGTTCTGGAACTTTTTAGACTGATTTTAGCCCTTCTGTTGTTAACGGTTGTAAGGGACATGTAAATAACCATGGTTCACAATGTGCATAGTCCTGCAGTAAGGGAGTGATTTGTTGCAAGCACAGTTGCAATGTTAGGTGACTTCTTTCCTACAAAATTTTTTTGTAGCTCCTTGTTGTAATTAACTTAGACTGCATTTCTATGTTGTATATTACAGTCACCTTACGTGTAACAAATTGGTTTTCTCAGCACAAAACAGCAGTATTAATGTAAAGGCACCAATAATAAAAAGATAAAAGTTTTTCAGCATGGTTTCATTTTTGTTTCTTCCTCCCTCAAGGTCATTACATTTCTCTAGACATCAGGATAGATAAAAGGATAAAAAGTCTGCAGTGCTAGTGTGTGTATACACGTATCTGGGAGTGGGTCTCTGCCTGTGTTGCAAAATCCATATCACATAATACGTGTTTACGATGAATGTTCTGCCAGGATCAAGTATAAATTCCCTCTCCTTAAAAAAAATGCACATTATTACACCATCTCAAGTGTTCTTTCTGTTCTTAAAATGAAGGGTAATTTTCAAAAGTGAAAATGTCTAATTGCGTCTCAATGAGATATTAACAAAAAATGTTTGATCACTGGTTCACTCATTTGGCATGACTTAGTGCTGTCATGCACATAATAGATTGATAACATATAAAAACAAAGAGATTTTAGATTAAGTTGGCAAAGAGATGGAAGACAATCTGTCAGAAAATTAGCTAAGACTGTTTTATACCTCCAGCCAAAACAAAGCTGGTTCAGTTTGTCTGCATCAACCACAGAAATGGAGACGAAAAGAGTCACAAAAGAGAAATCCAGGAGACATTTACACATCTCTGGGGTGGCCTTTGCATTCAAAACAAACGATTCAGGACACACACACCAGCTACTTAGACAATTGCAAAATACCTTTAAAGTCTGGCATTTATAACTGCACTCTTAAAGCTGCCCTCACTCTACTGAAATAATCTGAAATCCTCCTTCTGCCAGGTCCAAGAAGTCATTAAGGAAACAAACACACCTTTGATTAATGTGCCTGGGCATATTTAGCTAAGGGCTTGTTCCTGTTGATCTCATTCCAGCTGAGGTCAATAGCAAAATTCTCATTGACTTCAAAGGCAACACCACCGAGGCTTGAAAGGCAGACATTACAGATACATACCATTGGATGTACAAGTTCTCTGGAGCCCAGTTCTCCTGCACTTGCAGATGTTTTTACACATTTCTGGAAAGGTGCAAGTCCTTAGGGCTGAACCAGCAAAGGAAGTAGCTGTTATTTTGAATGCAAAAATCAAGGATGCAGGTTCTTAAAATTCCTACTCACAGATATATACCTATTTTCTTTGGACATCCACATGTCCAGCAGCAAAGCCCTCTTGTCTACACTTCTGCTACTGGCTATACAGGCAGCTGTTTAAGTCTCTGCATCATGGAGGTGTCTAATAGAAAAATCCCTGTGACTTTCCCCAAAATAGGCATTGCTCAGCCCACGTTACATGCAGAGTCCTGCATTCAGCTTCTTTCTCTTGATAAGCTTTGGAGTGCCTAATGTTGCTCGGTACCCACAGGGGTCAAGATTTGACAGGCTGGGAGTCTTGCTTTCTAAATCAAGATGCCTTAAAGCATCTCAAGTTGGGCAGCTACATTCATTTGACTTTTGTGTGCTCTTTTGTGGAGTAAGAGGCTGTTCACAGTATGACAAAAGGTCTGAATATCTGACCATAATGCTGATGTCCCTGCACCTACATTATCTTTATGAAGCTTTTAAATGCCTAAGCCAATGAGAATTTCTTCTCAAATTTTATGGAAAGCAACAATCATGGTCAAATCCACCTCACTTAATATTTATTAGTATAAATAGCTCATATGAGATTGTCAACATCTTCTCCCTTTGTACTGATCCCTGCAGGCAGCGAACCACAGGAAATGCTGGGGATGAGAGCAAGGCTTAACCTAGCATCTGTGGTGCCTTACTGGAGGATACAGAAAAGTTTATTTGTCATTCAGAAGCCATAACTTCAGAGTGCCTTAGCTCTCTGATGATACAAATCAAGAGTGCATAAAGGTTTCTGAAAAACTGATCCATTTCTATTTATTGGCTGAGCAGAAAAATAAGACTCAAAAAAGATTATCACAGGTCATCTGAAGTAAACAAGGGGGGGGGGGGGTGGTTTTTTTTTGTAGGAGAGGTGTTTCTTTTTAAAGTCTTGAGTGAAGCTTGAAAGCAAAACCAAAATCAAAACATTTGTCTTCAAGTGATTGTCTTTCCTGAGTTAATTGAACACAACTGGTTTCAGTCATAGCCAAATAAATTTCAAAAGGAATTGTCTTTTCAAATGGCAAAATGATGAAAACCTGTTAAAAAAATATCATGTTCTACCTGAACAAAGCAAATCCCAAAAATCAACGGAAAATGTCCAAAATATCCTGGCTCCACCCAGAAATCATAGCTCTGGTTAAAGAGATTTCCACTGCAATCCTTCACCCAATTAGTACACACAGAGTAAAGGAGACCAAAACAAACCCTTAACTCATCACCAAAAGCAACATGTTCATGATGTCATTGCCTACTCATTAATGCTTGAAGTCTGCAAAATGAAAGGCAGGAGCTGTTCATCCAGAGCCACCTCAAAGCTTCTCAGCAACTTTGGCAAAGCTGAGTTTTGTCACTGTAAGAAGAAAAGAAGCCAAGGCCAGGCTGGGCTGGTTTTGCAACAGGAAGGGGATGGGTAGGTAGCAAAGGCAACTTGGAGTCCTAATCTTCTCATTTCTCCTACCTCTCAGGAAGTGGTAGGGTCAGGAAGGGGCTTCTCTCTACCCAGCAGCACCCCGTCCCTACACACACCAACCCCTGCTTTAGAGGTAACAATGGCATGCCAGATAACAACTTTCTAGTTTGTTGCCATTTTAAATGGAAGGAGGCAAGGACAGGAATAGGCTGAATGTAACACCAAAACTCTCAGAGGTCACTCTCGCATGTCTTTTATCCAAGCAAACACACTCCCACACAACCTCGCTTTAAGTGCTGTTAGAGCACCAGCCTCACGGTACATGAGACCTCAGAGTTTTCTTCTTGGTGAGATCCAACTCTACACATGCAGGGAAATAACCAAAACACAGTGGCAGCTTCTGACCAACTCAATTCTCATGTCTGCCTCGCTCCTGCTGCACATATGCAGTGTGGGCACACCCAACCAGGTGACTGGGGATGTCACCATATGTTGTGACACACACTGTGTATTCTAGGATGAGCCTGACCTCCTTTTACTCCTGCTCCCATCTCCTTACGTGCTTGCCAAAGAAGTACAGTTCACAAGCATTCAAAAGCAGCAAGAAGTAAAAACTAAGGGACTGAGTGAAGGAAGCATACAAGGGGAAAGACTAAGATAGCACACCACCAAAGATAAGCAGAACTTCCCAAGATTTCTCTTGAGGTTATCATTCCCTGTTACATTACCTAGAATAGCTATTTAAGGCCTCCATGCCTCATGATATGGACCAACCGACAGCATTCCTTGCTTAGGAAGAAATGTCATCCCCATTGGCGTGTCAGCACCAATTGTAGCTGCCAACTCTTACACTGAAGCACTTGTGTTGGCCACTGCTGGAGATGAGTGAACAACTGCTGGCTCCTAAATGGCAACATCTGCTGCTATTTTGTCTGATTATAATTAAGTATCTTGATTTTATGGGTACTACTGGCTCTGGCAGGATAGACGAACCAAAACTGTAAACTTTCCCCCTAACTAACGAAGAGTCTCAGAACCTCTTTTGCAAGAGCAAATGTCAAATCCTTTCTTTGAACAAAGATGACAGTTCCTTGAAGCTACTCAGTAACTTCCCATTGTGGCTCTAAGACACTTAATTTTCCCCAAGCCTAGACTCTTAATCAATCGTATTACATATTACCAACATCAACCAACATAATCAGAGCCAAGATAGAATACATTCTTTGCACTTTCCCCCCCTAGCAAGCACTGTCAAAGCTGAGGCAACAACATTCTGCTAATTTGCCAATAATTTATAGAGACACCACGAAAATGTGCTTAATCCTCAAAGAGATTCCGTTGCTTGACTCCAGATCTCAAAGAAAAGCATGCAAATGCGGCAATAAAATGCATTCCATTTAATCAAGTGAACACATAACAGACTAATTCACGTTGTTTTATGGCATCAAATAACAGTTTCTGATGTGATTCCATGTGGGAGAAAAGGGGGAGGTTGATGTAAGTATATTTTGGCAGAGTACTAGAAGAGGTCACAGACAGCTGATTTCTTAATGAAGTGTTAAAGGCTTCTGAAATTTGCCTCTTATGGGAAAACGGAAACTTCCCCTCTCTACTGTATCTTTAAGAGAAAAAAAAAAAAAGAATAGCAGAAGTCAGCTAAAATATGCCAGTTTTAACTTGCTTAATTGTTGGAAAATACAATTTTCTTATTTTAAGGTAAATAAAGTCTACAGTATTGGTTCGCATGCCACTGTGTTAGCACTGCACCAGATATGCCATTAGATTGCCTGGAAGAATTTTCAACAATATCATGACAAACCATTTGGAAGTAGAGCTGAGAAGGGTCATACAGCAAAGTCTGTCAGAGCTGACAAAAAAAAAAAAAATCCACCCTCTACTTTATTTGGAAAATAAAAGGGGAAGAGAAGGGAACCAAACAAACCCTCTGTGGTATTAAGTCAAATTAAATATAGTTCATAAAAATTAAGGCATTTTGATGTTACAATGATATGGGTCCAGTGATGAAAGCAGAAATTATGTTCTGGAGAATGAATTTTAATTATGGCTTGGAAAAAATATGGAGAGAGAAGGGAAAAAACTAAAGGAGATGTAAAAAATGCAATTTGATGGCAGTGGAAAGTTCTACCCGCCACTGCAGACCTGCAATGGAAAGGCTGCAGTTCCACCAAACACCTCAAGTCCAAAATTTCAAATATATTTTCACTTTATTTTATGAATGCCCATCAGATATATATCTTTGATGCTACAGCACACTAGTTGAATAAAAATCAACAACATAAAAACCCTCTTCATAAAAGATCCAAGAAGTGAAACCCCAAAGCCATAACCATTTACTCTGTGAGCACACCACCTTTGACAACCATATATAAATGACATCATGACAACAAATACAATGTACAATAATAAGTGTGCAATGGTACAAAATATACAAAAAGGAATGTGTATTTAATATACATTCAACAATACCCCATAAAAATCTTTGTTGGGAAAGTGAAGTGCCTTTTCAAGAACAACAAA